TCGATGGTTAATGTATCCTCCTTGTGTTAAAGACAATAAAATCGTACTTTTAACGTATCTAATTCGCTTTTAAATTTACTAATGTTTTCCATTTGTACTTCTTGCCATTGTTATTGATTTTTCCTGAAGTTGCTGCTGACATTCCTGTAACTGTTGGATACTTTCTTCCTGTTTCCTTTCTTGTTCTAGTTGCCACTGTTGTAGTCTCTCTTCTTGTTTCTTTTCTTTTTCCTCCAACAACTGCTGTAACTTATCTTCTTGTTTATTTTCTTTCTCTTCTAACAACTGCTGTAACTTAATGGAAATATTAAGGTGTGTCTAACTACAAATGATATAAAAATGTATTGGATAAACCAGCTGCAAAATTGTATCTATTGTGAGAACAATTTGGCTTCCAATTAAATTACTTTTGACAAAATGTGTTTGATTGCATAACTGAAAACCTACATTACCTTGTGTAACATTTTAATAGAAGCAGGTAGTGGTTCCTTTTCAATACTTTTATTGATAAGTACTTTCATTCAAAAATAAATCATAACCTAAACTGTTAGAATAGAAAAATATAATAGTGAACTTTGTAAAATGCAATGCTTTTTAATCATCTTTAAAATACTGCTGTGTACAAGTCTGCACTATAGATTGATTTTATTTTTTTTTAAATATTTTATCAAAGTATAAATACAATAAATATCAAATATTTGGTTTCAAAAAGGAAAAGTGAGAAACATTCTGTATTTCTAAAATTACACGCAGATTTTTTCTCTACATTAAAATACTTTTATTTTATTTGTGAGTTTTTGGGCCTCTAACCAGTAAGAGGGTTAAAAGTTTGCAACTAAAAGAAAAGCATTTTAACTTAATCTTTGTATAATTCTACATGTTAATTTACTTACATTAAGAGTTTTAAAAAACAAACATAAAAAAGTTGGTAAACATTTATTAATTTATTTGTTCAAGAACATATTCTTACATTTATAATGGGAAATAATCCTTGATCATGTTTTTATAATCCATATACAGTTGAGACATCTTGTAGCTAAATACTAACAACTCCTTTCTTTATTAATAAAAATATGTAACAGTTCTATTTTATGTTTGTGTACCTGGATTCATTGTGAATAGAACTATTTTTCAAATAACCACAAGCTTTCACAGATTTGTAAGCTAACACTTACTACAAAACCTCAATTATATAACAAAAAATAAACTTTTATCAAAGATTAAAAAAACTTGATAGCTACCTGCAAATGTTTCTATATTATGACATTTGCATACTTAAGTTCTTTATATAATTTTTTAAAGTATTACCAGCAGCTTTTTAATACCAGTAGCTTGTTGAAGTTTTTATGATTCAAGTAAAACTAACATGTATGTTTGAAAAGTAGTCATAAACAATAATTTGTACTCCAATCAATTATTCTTTTAAACCTGAACAACACAAGATCCAATCTTGTTGTATACTTTGAAAATATACAATTATTATACTACAAAATCCTAATACTTTTTACACATAATGTCAAATATATCAATCTTTAACACCAAGTTTATTTGTATTCAGGAATTTTTCATCTACATTCAAAACTTTATAGCCACTTACAAAAAAAAATAAAAAAAAATACATATTTTCATTGTTCTGTATAGATTTATCTTGAATATTTTTTTTACTAATGAAAATAGAAGTACAATGAAAATAAAGTAATGACAATCTTAAAGTTTGTAGCCATATTCTTCAATCCATTTCAATCCACTCAGAGTTGTTTCTGAAAAAATAAAATGGTTCAATGTATTAACACCCAGAGATTTTTGTTTTTATATACAAGTATGATAACACATCACAAAAAGACAGGTAATTTTAAATCACACCATTGTTAACTGGCCCAATACATGTATAATAGCATTTTGACTACACCAATTTATTCTCTGCAGCTGCCAAAGGGAGATTTCTCTCAATAAGCCAGCTAGATCAGAACCAATCTAAAATTATTCAGCATCAGACATTTTTCAAAGCACTTCATAATAATGGTGTGTGTAGTTGAAATAGATGCATAGAGAACAAACTAAATATAATAAAAATGAAATATTTAATATACCAACATTTCAAATCATAAAATATATAAAAACAACATGTATGGTTATTTCATAACTGGATAAATTAATATATTATACAAAATTATGTATACAAGTACAAACAAAACAAAATATTACTAAATTTATTAAAGATAATTGTTTTAGTCATGTTTCAAATGTGTTCATTACAATAAAAATTTAAGTAATAATGAAAGTTATCTACAGTGCACGTTTTACTTTAATATAGCTCTGTACGTGTGTGTGTGTGTGTGTGTGTGTGTGTGTGTGTGTGTGTGTGTGTGTGTGTGTGTGTGTGTGTGTGTGTGTG